GGTTAAATAACAAGATAAATAGCCTCTCCCGTATTAGGTTGCAACCAGTTTTAATTGCCAACCTTAGTGAATTCAAGGGGAAATCACTCTGTTATCTCAAACATATAAGATGACTTACAGATATTAAAGAATTAGGAACAGAAACGTTACTAATGAGCTGGAATAGAAAAAGTAATCAAGCGGACAGTAGATAGCGATTGACATCGCATTTAAATTTTTGGAGATTAAAGTTGGCTGAAAGCATAAAGCCGGAAGGAAGTTCCACAAGCGAGAAGTGCGAGAAAAGAAACTGTTAGCATAGAATTTACGGCTGCATCTATCCGGCTCACTTGTAAATTGATAAGAACTCGATGCCAGTCTAGTACTGCGTTTAAATTAAAGAAAAATCGTGGTACCATAACGAGGAGCTCATCCGAATAATTACCATGAAAATATTTATAGAAAAGACACAATAGAAAGTGACTGAAGCCGAACTGCCAGATCAGGACCAATAATATGTCTGATTCTTCTTTGGATTTTATCAAGGTAAATAGCAGGGGCACCGAACTATGTGTGGTAGGAATATTCTAAGCATGGATGAATGATGGACTTATAAATATGTATGACAAATTCTGGAAAGGAAAATTGTCTGGCTCGACATAGTGAACCAACTTCCTTATCAGCTGACCAGCAATGGATCTAGAATATATATATATATATATATATATATATATATATATATATATATATATATATAAGTTTAATTAAAAAAACAGGCAACCCTATTGGTCCGTTGACTATATTTTATTTCCCCAGTAATGGGATTTTATATTTCCAAACATCTATGCATATATTAAGGAAAAAAATCGATGTTAGAACCAACGGACAACTTGCCAAAATCTAAACTCTTATACAGTCTCGAATAAAAACGACAATACTTAAAAACGAAAGTGAAAAAAGACTGATAACAAACATACCTACTAATGCACGAAAGCCAGATTGCCTCGACCGAGCAAAAAAAAAAAACGCGTGCCGACGTTAAATCCTATAATAGGATGGTTCTTGTTGTGACTCGTTTCATGCACACGCAATCTTCAAGCCACTTGAATATATATATATATATATATATATATATATATATATATATATATATATATATATATTATAATTTAATTGATTTGAAATATGTTTTTTTTCGCTACACAGTTCTAACCATGTTTCAAAAATGGAAGCTAAAAGCCCCGAATTTAATTTTGTAATTTTGCTACGTTTTGGTAGTGGGTAGGGATGTAGCAATAACTGATACATTAAAATATAGACATATTGAACACCCAGACACCCCTTGTCAAGCAAAATAGATTTATCTGTAACCTTGGAAACATGAATTTTGTTTTAGCTGTGTATTTAAAACCCAGTAATTTTAAAAGTTACTCCAAAATTCGCTTGAGGATGAAATGGAACTGATGTATTTAATTTAATTACAAAATTAAATTCGGGGCTTTTAGCTTCCATTTTTGAAACATGGTTAGAACTGTGTAGCGAAAAAAAACATATTTTAAATCAATTAATTTTTAATATTAATGCTCTGTAAATTTACATTGAGCACTATTTTGTAAAAATAAAAACATCTATAAGAACACCGGATTATATATCTTACTGTTCTTTATATATATATATATATATATATATATATATATATATATATATATATATATATATATTCAAGCAGGTTTGGATAAATAATTTAGACGTATGTCTATTTATTTTAGTTTTAATCCTTTCAAGTCCACGATTAAAATTAAAACAAATAGACAATACGTCTAAATTATTTAACTAAATCTGCATGAAAGAAGATATGCGGCCTAAATATATATATACTAGTAGCATTACCCGGCGTTGCCTGGGTTTATTAAAAAAATATCACGAACCTCATCCAATCGGTAAAGTTAAAATAAAGATGATTTTTTCTTAGTGCCTCTTATCTATATGGCAAAAAATTTTAATGACATGGAGTGTAAAAACATTTATAACAGGAGAAAGTTATTTTTTACAGAAGCACAGAAGATACAAAGAAAATTGTCAGCAAATGAAGAGTACATTAATCGCAATTGATCTTCGAAAATTGTTGAGGAGAAATGCTTTGTTGACAGCTTTTGCTCAAACTACATTGAATGAACAACATGCATTGGAAGGAGAAGAAATTCAACAAAGACTTCTCCTAGCAGCCGTGCCAAGGCTGGAAACCAACTTTCACAAAGATTGTATAGAATTGTTCTTTGCCCCTCAGTTTCGAGAGCTCGAGTATCAGAGTTCTGTCAGCGTTCCTTCGTCGTCTAGTTAACCATTGCTCATTAGTTTCTGCTCACCTTGCATTAGCTGTACGAATAGCATTATCAGTCTAATTTTAGTTTCTTGTTGCGAGTTGGATGGTTTTGGCTAAGCTTTTTGAATAACAATGAAGTAATCAATTAAAAAGCCAGAATATTATACACATTAATGGAAATATAGCCACAATAAATTAAATGCAAGTTTATAAGGGGGACAATTATAAGCAAGCTCGTAAAGTTAGGATTTATCTAAAAATAGACTACCAAAAAACGTTCTAGTGATAAAAATAAAAATTAACGTGCAGCTAGAAACCTACTCACTATGAACGTTAAAACGTACACACTAAGTTTTGGATAATTATAAATGAATAGAAAGAGGGTGTTTACATTATTATAAGTGCATTTTTCAGAATAAAACTGTCAAAATTTTAGGACCCGAGTTTCCAAATATATGAGTCAGTAAGCATTATTTAAACGCTGATTAGAAGATGATAAATACATAATTAAGAATTGGCATTTACGATTAGACTTTTTTTAATATGATTTTTACAAATTTAAATTTAAAGTATCAAAAATTCAAAATATACATGCATGAAGGCAGCCTACCTTTTTATTGGATGACAACTTTGAAGCGAATGAGATTTTTTGCATTTATTTCATCACATAGTACTAATGAACACTACACGTGAAGCAAAATAACATAACTCAATCGATTATTGCATGTGGAGCAAAATCAATAGTACACACTACACATGTCGATCGATCTTGCACACGCGTCTTATACCTACGTGCACTTCTCTCATCGGTGCATACTTTCGTTTGCACTTATTCTTTTTTTCTTAAGGAAGGATATAATTTTTGCCGTCAAGTTAATGCAAACTAAACTATTTCAGTACCAAAATGAGAAATCCATGAGGATGAAACAGAGCTGTTTTTTAGTTACTGTTTTTGATGGAATCGTATTTTTTAAAAATAATTATAATACATATATATATATATATATATATAGTAATCCATATACAAGCCTCCTTCGTTGTATAACAGCTCATCAGCGTGGCTACTCATCCGATTGCTTCAAGGCGGGATCGAAACTCGACCGATTTGTCATCAGTTAGAGATTTTGCCCCTAAGCTATCGGCGCACGGCAGAGAAAAAAGAATTTTTAACGTATTATATATGTGATCTGTACAAATACCAGTTGTCAATAGCGTTCTATTCATAACTGAAGAGTGATGCGTTAAGAGCAAGAGCAGCCATTGTTTTTTAAAATTACCTTTTCTCTAGAGTGCTCAGTCGGGAAACGAGAGCATAAATAGTCATCCACATACAAGCCTGTTTCGCTATATCACTGATCATCAGTGTATCGAGACATCCGATTGCTTCATATATATATATATATATATATATATATATATATATATATATATATATATATATAGATATATAGATATAGATAGATAGATAGATAGATAGATAGATATCAGCATATTGATAAGTATTAAAACCATTGTAGATAGTTGAGACACGATTAAGGAAGTTTTCTTTTTTTGCATCTTTTACCAGTTTCAAGCAACAAATGACAAAAAGTTTAAGACATCAGCGATAGAAATGCAAGGTAGACAACGAACTGTTTAAAAACCTAAAAGTTCAGTGACAAAGAAAAATAAACGATGAAACAAACAAGTTTATTTAGAAGAAACATAAAAAAACGGAAGATGAACAAATTACTATATATTGATGGAAAGAAAGAAAAGACTGCAAAAGAATGGAAAAACAAGCAAACAAATAAGAAATACGCAATAAAGAAAATAAAAATGGAAAAGAGAAGAAAAAATAATAAAAAAAGGACGATTAAAAATATAAAACATTTAAAAACAGCGGGATGGCAGTGGGTTAGAATTTCGTGTCAAACTCACTTTCGACGTTGAATGACGTGGCCACAAAATCTGCGATTAACCCGATGCAACACTCGCCGGAATGTAAGCGCTAGCTAGCTGACAGGAGGCATAGGGAGAAGTGCATGCGTACCTATGTCGTAAAGCCAAATGGATGAAGGTGGGGCATGCTGGGATATGTGTGCATGCAAAAGGGGATAAGTACGGGGGACAAGAAGGGGGTGCTGCAAGGAGCACACGAATCGATAACGTCACTTGCCACCACATTATAACTACTATCACCCTTACTGCACACTCAACTTTACTCTTTGTCTCCATCTCATGACTCTTCCTCCTTACTCTCCATCTCATGACTCTTCCTCCTTACTCTCCATCTCATGACTCTTCCTCCTTACTCTCCATTTTCACTCTCGACTTGCCCTTTTATTTTACTGTCATTTCTTAGACATGAAGTCCCATAATGAGTTTAAACATTTTTTTTTCTATATGGTTTCTTCATTTTGAATGCATTATCTTTAGATTCCATTTCATTCTCTCTCTTTATTATGCGTCTCTTGAAAATTTTCTACACTTTTCCACCACTAATTTTATTCACTTTATAGATTATTTTTCTTGTGTTTTTCATTTTTATTCTTCCTCGATGCCCACTTTCTCTGTTTTTTATGTCCAAATCCTCGCCTTCTTTTTGAATGTTCACTTTCTCTCCTTCTTTTTTAATGTCCCCTTTCTCTCCTTCTTTTTCAATGTCTACTTTTCTCTCCTTCTTTTTTAATGTCTACTTTTCTCTCCCTCTTTTTTAATGTCTACTTTTCTCTCCTTTTTTGATGCCCACTTTTCTCTTCTTTTTAATGACCACTTATCCCCCCTTCTTTTTTCGATATCAACTTTTCTCTCTTTCCTTTTTGATATCCACTTTTCCATCCTTCGTTTTTGCTGTCGAAGTACTTGTTTAACCCATACATCGGTATTCTCCTTCTCGGGTTAACGTTTTACATTAACATAAAGTAGAACGATTATACTGAATCTATTGTTAGGCCTGCTGCTAGGACAGTCGGTTCACTACGTTGTGCTAGATAATTTATAAATCATCCATTCATCCATGCATTGAATATTGTTACTACATTTGGGCTGGTGCTACTGCTATGTATTTAGAGATTCTTGACAAAATCCAACAAAAATTTGTAATGTTATCGGTCTTGACCTGGCATATCAGTATCAATCCCTTCCCCACCGCTGTAACGTGGCTTCCCTGTTCTTTTTCTATGAATATTTTCATCGTAACTGTTCTGATGAGCTTTCTTCTTTGGTACTTTGACTTTACGAATTTAGGCGCAGTACTAGATTGGTAGTTAGGTACCACCATTTTACAGTTTCACTCGCTCGAGGGACTCTCCTCCGCTTTCTTGCTTTCTAATAAATGTCGATCTTTAAAAATTGAAATGCAATGTGAATCGTTATCTCCTTTATTCCTGATCTTTTATTTTCTTCTCTACTTAATAATGTTAAGATTCTTTCACATTCAGTAACTTCTTGAATCTTAGTGGCTTTATAGCCCTGCCTGGGGTGAAATGATAAAAATGTTATAAAAATTATATTTCGTAGGTACACGTATTTGGGTAGACATTTCTCTTTTCTGAACGGTGAAATAAATGTCTACCGTCATAGAGATCGAAAGACTTAATAAAGAAAATGCTACAAAATGTGAGGAATAATAACAAAGATAGACATCTTGTCAAATGGAAGTTTCTTTTGTCTTTTGTGTGTGCTTTTTTCTTTCCTATTTTTAAATAAATTTTCGTTATTTCTCCTAAACACTTTCCCGCCATCCATTTACACAAGCTCGTCAAGTTTGACATTAGATTTAAATATTAACCCTTTTCTATAGCTTTGTCAGACAAAAATCATGAAAAAAGCAGCCAATGTTGTGCAACAACATGCTAGATAGACTCGCAGAACATCATTATGGCAGTGAGTTCGATCCTGACTGAGAGTCACGAGCCATGATTTAAACATAATATCTATGATTTTTCCCGAAAATCATTCCAGTTTAGTTCATATTCTATATCTGCTGCATCAAACTCACACTATACCCTTTGAAAAGGCATGAATTCACCACTTTTATTCCTCCGTAATGGATTAATTAGCAATGTAGACAGGATCCTCTATACTTGAGTGACAATCAAAGAGAATAAAACTCTGAATTCCAAACTGTAAACAAAAGGAACTGGAAACCATTTCATGAAGGAGTCGTGATAATTCAGGCATAATAAGGAAAAGAAATGTGAAGAACTATAAACGCCTATATCAAGTTTAAAAAATGCCATCGTATAGTCAGCCCAAGGAAGTCGTATTCTACTTTGCTTACAAAGGTTATTCATAACCATTTTCGCTTAATTTGGGGGGCGTGTACTTATATATTATAATTATATTTATCCTTATATATAATTATATTATAATTATATTTATACGTATCTATTATAATTATATTTATACGTATATATTTTAATTATATTATAATTATATCTATACGTATATAGTATAATTATATCATAATTATATTTATACGTATATATTATAATTATATTTATACGTATATATTATAATTATATTTATACGTATATATTATAATTATATTATTATTATATTTATAAGGGTTACTTCATAAAGCTTTATCTTCTATTTTTATCCCAATTTCCCCGAATTATTAAGAATATTTCCTTTTATCTCTTTGTCCTCATATATTTCTAAGGCTTATGTACCCTATTGTCACTAATATTCCATCTTTTTTTTTTCATATCTGACTCTTCTCGACATGCCTTCTCGGTTATTTGATCATTTTCTGCTTTTCTTTCTTTTTCCATGTAATATTCTGTGCCTGTGCGCAATTCAGGAAGTACACTTTACCATGATGTGTATAGAAAAAAAAAGAGTCAATGCCATGCGTATAACTCATTCAGACATATCTAAACTAACATCTATATACAACAATTTTCATAGAACAGTGGTTAAAAAATTGCTTAAATGAATTAATCCTATAGATCTTAAAGAAGATGAGCTTTAATCATATTCCATATAGAGTGGCGATATAAAAACACAAACAGAAAGTTTTAGCAAATGGCAAAAACCTCATCATTTGAAAGCTTCTGAAAGCAGCTTTAAAAAAATTATTAGCTCATTAAGCCAGAAGAGAAAATAAAGATATTCAAGATGTTAACTTTCTACCCCATCAAAAACAAAATGTTTAGAAGGAAACACCAATTAATATTAGAAAATGCTATAACATTTAGCGGAATTGAGAAGTTTTCAGAAAAAACTGTTTTAATTAGCTGTTTTAAGAAACAAAAATAAGATTTTACAAATTTCAACCAACATTATCACTGACTCTCTGGTCAATGAATGCCAAATGATCCTTGTATTTTACAATTAAATTATATATATATATATATATATATATATATATATATATATATATATATATATAGGTTTTAGTAATATTCACGTTTACAAACATCCGCTAGGTGCCTTGTAATATAGACTCGCGGATGACGTGTAATAATGTATTTATTTACTTATTTTTCATTTTATAGTTATTCTTTTCTATTCGCTAATATCTTCAACCGTTAAAAGAGATAGAATCAAATATTATTTTCCCAAACGTTCAAGCCGAACAGTCAGCAAAAGTCTTTCGAATATCTGTCTTAACAATATACAATAAAGCATAAATATACATAAGTTCATTACTAAAAAAAGTAGAAATACAGACATATTAATATACACATTATTTAGTGTGCATATATATATATATATACACAAATGATCATATACACACACATATATACTATCTCCCTCAAACATATTCCTTAAATCTATGACTATTGTCAGTAACCAAAACCTTTTCCAACTCCTCACCTTCACAATCGCTGACAAAATCTCGTTTAGTATCGTTTGGTCTCGTTACTTCTCATCTCGATTCTACTGTTAAGCTTTACTGCTTCTTACTCCCAACTCGAATTTTTCCTTAATTCGGTCTTGGCAACAATAAAATGCCGCCTCTCTTCTTCCCCGCCAGTTTCTTCCTTAGAGGAGGAGACAACCTCGAGCGTCACTATTTTCTAGCTAGACCACTATCTTTTTTTTTCCCCCCGTAATTACTAACTTTCTCTTTAATTTCACCCGTCATTCAAAACATCAGCACTGCAATCACCCATCATACCCATATATCTTGCCATCATCCGACTCTTTTATTTCCTCCCCCTCCAAAAAATTCTCACCAGTCGACTGCCTCCAACGCTGACTTTTCATATTCTCAATCAGTTTCTTTTACAGCTATTTTTTGAAAGTTTTTAAATTCTGATATTTTCCTTCTATCATCATCTCATTCATGTTTAAACTTTTAAATTCAGTTTCTTTCTTTCAATTTCTTTCTTTCTGTTTTCTTTCTTTCTTTCTTTCTTTCTTTAAGTCCTTCAGTCAATTTTCTTTTTAATCCTTTGTTAAAAAGTCTACTACTGATTTTTTTGTCTTTCTTTTGTTTCTTTGTATCATTTTTTTTTGTATCTTTTTTTTTTCATTAACAACTTTATTCCTTTTACTTTTTCCTTTTCCTTTGTTAAAAATTCAACCAATATTCTTTATCTTTCCTTCTTTCTTTTTCTCTCTTTAACAACTTCATTCAAATTGTTTTTTTTTCCTTTGTTAAAAAATCTACCACTGTTTTTTCTTTCTTTCTTTCAATTCTTTCTGTTTTTCTTCCTTGTTTATTTTTCTTTCTTTAACTTATTCAATCAAATTCCTTTTTATCCTTTGTTAAAAATTCTACCACTGTTCTTTTTTCCTTTCTTTCTTTCTTTCTTTCTTTAAGACATTTACTCATTTTGGTTTTTCCTTTGCTAAAAATTCTACCTCTGTTCTTTCTTTCTTTCTTTCTTTCTTTCTTTCTTTCTTTCTTATTCTTGACTTCTAACTCTTCATTTTCTATACATCTTCAGGATTATTATCATTTTTATTTCATCCTTTTCATATTTTTCTTCTATTTTTCTTCTCTCCACTTTTGCAAAAATCCTTGTATTACATCTTCTCCTTCATCACATTATTTTTCTTCTTCATTATCATATTTTTCATTTGCCATCTGCAGCTTCTTCTTCTTCTTCTTCTTCTTCTTCTTCTTCTTCTTCCAATCAACAGTTTTCCCTCATAACCTTCCTAATCTTCCTCTATTCTTTTTCCTTCTTCATTCCACAACCATTTTTCTTTATTCATCAACAGTTATTTTTTCTTTTCTCTCTTTCTTTTCATTTTCCTTCCATCTTTTCCTCGTGACAATTCTCTTCCTCACAATTGTCACGATTATCTTTGCATTCCCTAAATTTATTCCTTGCCTTTTATTATTCATTTTTCCCATCTCTGTTTGCCTAATACTATCATCATCATCACTCGATGATGATGATAGCATATTTTCTTTCTTTTTTCTGCAGTCCTGCGTAAGACGATAAACTACATCCAACAGCAGGAGGCTTTGACGAGTGTGGAACCATCTCTTAATTGCTGGTGTTCCCAGGCCCACTATTACCCGGTGTGGTAGCACCTGTCAGGGTCCCAGATATGGGCAAATAGTTACCCCACCAAACTGAGGTCAAAACACTATGAAAGTGTAAAAATAGGTTTTAGTACCAGCAAAAATTTTTTGAAGAAAAATTATTACCAGCAATACATTTTTTAAGAAAATAAATATTACCAGAAGTACATTATTGGAAAAATATTACCAGCAATAAAAATCTTGTCATCATTAAATAACACATTGAGGTTGATATGCCGTAAAACATACCAAACCAAATCAAACCAAACTTTTTTTTTCTGTTACGATATTTCGTCTGCGTAATCGTTATCATTTGTCTTTTTCTATTCCCCATCATCATCACCATCATTCCAACCATCATCATCATATCATCGCCATCACCATCACCATCATCATCATCATCATCACCATCATCATCATCATCATCATCATCATCATCCCTTTATTCTTGTCCGTTTTTAGTGGTCATCATGATTTCTTCCTTCTTATAAATCAGCGTCAATTGTCTTCGTCCAGTGATTCTCAAAATTTTTCTCCGGGCCACATTTTCGTGAATAAATTTGTGTAATTATAATAATATAATAATAACGCAAATTTTATGTAATAAAAAATATATTTAAAAATTTAAAGAAACAGAGATTGGGTAAAAGGGAGATAACCGCGGATTTGAAATCAGAACATTATCATTGATAACTCTCTCCTCCAATTTGCGGACCCTAGTTACTATATTCTTAATACTTTATATAATGCAAAAATATCACAATGACAAAAACGATCAAGGATTATTTATATTGGGACTCATGTATGCAGTTACAATCAATCCATAATAATATTTTAAGTTATGAAATTATATTTATTTTTTTAACTGTTTCTAAATCTTTGATTGTCTTTCAATCATTCTGCCTCACCTGTTATCCTTTTCCACCGTACCTATGATACGCGCCGCCCCGTTTGTGAACCACTGTCTCATTTTTCTCATCATCCGTTCCTTTTATTCTTCATTGCCTTTTATTTTTATTTTTATCCTCATTAAGGAATTTCTGATTATTCTTCCGATTTCTTCTTCTTTATTATCATCATCATCTCACGTATTCATCATCATCATCATCATCATCAATATTAACAGGATTTCCAGATGTCATTTCATTGCCCTTACTACAAATCATTTTTTCCCACCTCCTCATCGTTTTCATCTACTTTCTTCTCAGCGTCGCCATTTTACTTGTTATCCTTATTCCTGTTACGAACCATCAGCAGCTATTATGGTTATTTTTCCGCGGTCTCTTCCATTAAGACGAGATGTGACACAATGTCAGGCTTAATGCAGGGAACCCGAGCGCGTACATTCAGGCCAAGCACAAATATTGCCCAACCCCGCGCACCGTTCGTTGAGTAGGCCTCAAGAGCGACTACCAATCCCCCACTCTCTAGTGCAAATGGGGGTGCAGCCTCAGGCAGCTGCTCCCCCCACCCCCCCCGGCCGGGAACCTCACAGTATTTATTTTCCTCAGCTATGACTCTGTCCGCGGACTGACCTACAACTGAGACGCATTTTTCCCGAAGACAGTGACGCAAGTGAGAGATGATAAACTCTACCCAGCAGTTCGTATCTCTCTATAGATATGTAACTTGCTACAGCATTTTCATATCTACCTATCACACGAACTAACAAGCCATCGCAGTCTGTTCAAATCTTTCTTATTTTTAGCGTTATTTTTTTAAGCAGTCTCTTGCTATTTGTTTCTTGCATATTTTTTTCGTCATTTCATATAGGCAATAAATCCATCTCAAGGACGAAAGCATTAGATATTACAATGGCCTTTGACATGATATGGCATAGAGTGTTACGGTACAAGAGTTTTTTCAATTATCAAAGCCTTACCTGGTAAGTCCCTGAAGGTTGTTGTTAATGGCTAGTCCTCCGATGTGCAAGCGATCAACGCAGGCGTCCTCCCAAATATGTCAGTAGATAAAAAAAACGGATTGAGCAAGAATAAAAATTGAGAAATGGTGTAAAAAGAGTAACGATAGATTGGATATGCTTATACTATGGAGTGTGTCGCTGATAAAGCAAAAGTTGAATGTGTGCTTTATGAACACAAATCTTTCTCAGATTTTCGAAACATTCAAATCTGCTCAGTTACGTATTCTGACGTTAATCAATTTCTAAAGAAGTCATTGCTGTTTTATTTATTAATCAGACAGATTTTAATTCTTATTCAGTGAACACACATATTTCAGTAGACGCTCCGTTTATTTATCAAACTGTATATTTCAATTTTACTTCGTCAACGACGCTCTCCGCGGTTGAGTAGGTAATTATATCGGATCTAACGACCGTTTATCATACCAAGGAGGGCTCTGGTTTGAATCCTGCAGGAGAGCTCATATTTATTTACATATCGTTTCTCGAATATTCAGGTCAGTAGACGAAAATAAATAATAATACTAATAAATAAATGGAACGTCTATTAAAATACGGTTAACAACTAAAAATAACGTAATAAAGTAATAGAACACACGTGTGTGTGTTAAATGTCAAACAAGATACAGACCCATGCTTAAAACCTTCAAAACATTTAAAATCGGGGTTTTCACAAGCTCTTTGGGATTACTGTCAGTTTCAAGAAATACATTATTTATAAAGATTTATTTCCGATATCCGACTTGGCTCTATTCCTGATATACAGCATTGACACAAAACACACAAAAATTCGTACCTATTATTATTTGAATTGCAAATATTATATATATATATATATATATATATATATATATATATATATGTATGTGTGTGTTTGTGTGTGAAATATTTGTATAAGATATATATATATACACACACACAAACATACACACGCATATATATATATATATGTATGTATGCAGCCTAATGATCAAAAAGCATTAATATATATATATATATATATATATATATATATATATATATTCATGTATGTATGTATGTAGCCTAATGATGAAAAAGCATTTATGTTAAAAAATATTTATTTCGCAACATAACCTACGGCCTTATTAACGCAGTAGAAATTTCATATCAAAATTCTTCCAAAGATTTTGCACTTAATGATCCACCCTCATATATACGTACGTATGCAGAAAACAGGCATGCATATATATATATATATATACCTACAGATGTAATCATGTGCAATATATTTTATATTTCTTTCTTCTTCTCTCGCCCTCCATTCCCCTCTCTCTCTCTCACTCACTACACCCCCCATATATATATATATATATATATATATATATATATATATATATATATATATATATGTGTGTGTGTGTGTGTGTGTGTGTGTGTGTGTGTAAACAAATTAAACTAAGTTTGGAAAAATTATATAATAATACAACCAATTTTTTCTCCAGAAACCCTATTAAACTATAGGACAGGAACGAACTCCCCAGTAACTGCAAACTAGACGAAACATTATAAAAATTTAGGTTTCTTATCGATACATATCTCCTAACAACAAATGAAAACTCATCACTTTTTAAAAAAAAACTTAAAACCTCCAACATGATCATCACCAACGATACAATAAAAATAAAAATATCAAAAAACTGATGCTGTTTATAGTTTCACTTTCTCATGTGTAGTATGCTTCTCTAATAATTCAAACAACACATACGTTGGCTTCACAACCACTATTTTATCGCTCTGATTAACATGACATTTATCTGATTTTTTTATATGCCATGTCCTTTTAGGACGTAGATGATCATGGCTCTCCACCTCCCTCTATCCCTTGCAGCTATCTACAAGTTCCCTCTCTCTGCCATCTCCACCAAACAACATTCTGTCAAGCACCTGCTCATGCCCGCCTGGGATGTCACGCGCTGTTTTCCCTTGTCTCTCTTTTCCTCTATTCGACCCGTGAGTATCAGATTCTCAAGGCCCTCTTTCTTCATTATGTGTCCCAGGAACTTCAGCTGCCTCTTCCTGATGTTCAGCATGAGCCTCCTCCTTGTTTGCATCCTCTCCAAGACCTCATCGTTGCTCACAAGCCCGGTCCACGAAATCCTCATTATCCTTCTCTAGAACCACATCTCCGTCGCCTCGAGTCACTTCTTCATCCTTGAGGAAATCGTCCTGCATTTGGTGCCGTAAAGAATGACAGATGTCACGTAACAGCTCAGTATTTTTTTCTTTGCTATCAGAGAAATTCTTCTGTCACTCAGTACTCTTCCCAACTTCTGGAATGTGTCCTTGGCCATCCCAATACATCTACGGATCTCAGTGTCGCATTTACCGTCCTCTGTCAAAACGCTTCCCAGATATTTAAACTTCCGCGTCTGCTGGATTCTAGTGTTCCCCGACCTTCAAATCGCATTTCGGGCTCATCCTTTTACTGATGACCATGCATTCTGTTTTCTTGTAGTTTATGCTTAGTCCCTTCTTCTCAATCTCCGTTGCTACCTTCTGTAGGAGATTTTGTAATTTATTTTCCGTGTCTGCTATCAGTACTGCGTCATCTGCGTATCTTATGTTGTTAAGATTGTGGCCGCCAATGCTAAATCCCAGTTGGGTTTCCAATTCTCTCAGGATTGCCTCGCTGTATAGGTTGAACATGTCAGGTGAGAAGACACTTACGCCCCTTTCTATTTTTGTATATTCAATGAACTCGTTCCCTATGCGTATGCATGCTGTTTGCTGCCAGTATAAGTTCTTGATTATTCTGATATCCCTCCCGAATATAACAAGGTTGCTGAGCAGTTCCATCAGATCCTTGTGGCGTACTTTGTCGAAGGCCTCTGCGTAGACTATGAAACATTACACGTCCTTCTGCATTTGTATTGTTCTTTCTGATAACATTCTAAGCATGCATTTCACGTTCCTTGTTCCAATGTTTTTTAACGAACCCGCACTGTCCTAGTCCTATCTCTGACCTGATTCTGCTGCGCGCTCTATTCATCAGTATACGGTTTTGTCACGTGGTTCATTAGGCTGGCTTATTGTTCAGTGGAGTTTGCATTCGTTCGTACCTGGTTTCTTAGACATAGCTATGAAGATAGATCTGCTGAGGTCTTCTTGTATGTTGCCGCTGTTGTAGATTCCATTTGTTATTTCAGTGGTCTTGTCTATGCCAAATTCATCTAAGGCTGTCAACATTTCCGTTACAATTCCGTCTGGCCCAGCTGCTTTGTTTCTGTTCAATTTGGCCTGTGCGGCTTTTACTTCGGTTTTCAAAATTCCAGGTCTGTCGGTAGTTCTGTGTATTGTTGATTGTTCCTTTTCGTACAGCACGACAAAAAAAACACATGAAATCTGACAATTCTTTATCAGTAACACAAAAAAATATCATAAAAACAAAAAGAAAAATGAATACAAGTACCATAAACACATTAATCATAATATATCAACACAATATGAATAATATAATATCAAATTTAGGACCAGGCATATATTCCATTATTAATAATAAGTAACAGTTAATATGAACTCTGTCTTGAAGATGCAAGATCTGATATTTAAAAATGATAAAGGACTAAAAACCAAAAAAAAAGACTCTTTTATAATGACTTATAAAACCGAAAGTGCTTAAATAGTCGACAGTTTATATTTAAATATATAGCGGAAACAATATAAAGGGTCTGAAATATAAACAATTAAATAAAAATATCCTTAGAAAAGAAGCTTCCTTGGTCTTTACCGAAAACAGTACACACACACACACACACACACACACACACACACACACACACACACATATATATATATATATATATATATATATATATATATATATATATATATATATAAACAATATAAAGGGTCTGAAATATAAACAATTAAATAAAAATATCCTTAGAAAAGAAGCTTCCTTGGTCTTTACCGAAAGAAACAATACACACACACACACACACACACACACACATATATATATATATATATATATATATATATATATATGTTTCAGTGCATTTAATTGCACTTCAACTCTGGAAATTGTTTTTGCCTATATGAAAAATTATAATAAATAATTATTGCTCTACTATAGGTATTGAGCCCTCATTTGAATTAATGCTTTGAACGTTAGAATTTATATATTATTTTCGTTCTCATTACATTCAGGTATATATATATATATATATATATATATATATATATATATATATATATATATTTATTTATTTATGGTTGCGCATAGCGGTGTTTTATGTTAGTGGGAGTAAAATTGTCGTTGAAACCGCGCATATATATATATATATATATATATATATATATATATATATATATATATATATATATTTTACATACACTAAATATATATATATATGTATACACTAGGACCAAGAGCCACACAAAATAGAGAACTACTTTTTGTTGTGTTGTGTGAGCGTCAGAAAGAACAAAAGTGAAGTTTATGAGGTTATGCAGGAAAAACATGGTTAACCCTAGATTTGTAGACGTCAAGTGTGTAGTGATTGTGAAAATTTCCTGATGGCAATCTGTTTCACAAAGCAGCAGTTCTTGGGAAGAAGCTGTCCAAATCGTACTTATTTCTAACTATAGGAATCTCTGCTGAAAAGTAGTTGTGTAAAAAATAATTAATCGCCTATAAAGCCGCGTAGGCGTTTTTGAACTCTATCAGGACAGGCTAATCAGACCAAATATGGTAGATATAGTTTCTTGAATGCACAGGCAAATGGACGAAATAAATATCGTTAAAATAAACGGGCGTTTACTCAAATACGGGTATCCACAAAAAATCTTTGAAATAATAAAAATATAAACAATGGAATATATGTGTGTGTATGTATGTATGTGTATAAATATATACGTATACGTAAGTATTTTTACTTTTACGCTTTTAAATATCTATATAGAGTGTGATTATGACATTTTGTAGAATAATTGATTTCCTGTATCGTAATTGCAGGAACTTTTGTTAAAAATAATCAAGGGTTTAATTCAGTTTTTTTTTTTTTTTATTTTAAATGTCAACCCAACACGAAATTTGTAAAATCGCATATAAGTTTCGTAGTATGACTTTCTGAAACCTTCTAGAATTTTCTGGAACATTCTAGAACTTCCTGTAGACTTCTAGAAATTTACGGAATTTTCTAGAACTTGTTCTTATTTATTTGTAAGTCTATATGCTATGCTATATCCATAAAATGTTAAATGTTTTGAAAATGCACAAGAGTTATCCAATTATATAATTAGCAAATTGAAAAATAAAGCTTTTGAGAGATTTATGATTTTTAACATTATTGCATATATGGTAAAAAAAGAATTTTACTTTGAGAGTGACCTTTTTCAAGGACGAAAACAAATTAGTGCCTTTTTCATTACTTTTGAACTAAAGTTCATCGATTTATAATACAGAAATATAGCGTGGAAAAAAGTCATAACCCTAATGTACATCTATGTATGTAAGTATGCACGAGCTTTTGTATATGCATGCCTATATCATAGGTGTGTGCAAACGTCTATCTTTTTATGCTTCTTGCTATTTCAGAACCTCTCTATTGAGACCACCGCTTCTCCGATCCCGCCACCAGTCATCTTCATTTTCCCAATATCTCAATTGTCATTTAGTACACTTTAATTATTGACTGTCAGTCTCGTCACACTTAATTTCTCTGTGCTTTAAAATTTCAGGCCAACTCACACGTTGTTCCATCTCGGGTTCCTTCTTGCTATTTTTCCAAATTCTTTATTTCCTTTCCAAATTATTCTACCGCTAGACATCTCCCAAAATATATTGCCCTGTGCTTCTACTCATCTCTCTCTCTCTCTTTCTTCTACGGGCTTACGGCCACATCACGTTGAAAACCAGTTCCTGTGGGATCATCGAAGTTATGCAACGTCGAGCCTGGCCATTACCTAGATAGGTAATCAGGTGCTGTAAGCTTGGATGTGCGGGTGGTGTAATGGATAATGGATCGGAATTGTTAATTGGAAAGCCGAGTTCTAATTCTCTTTTGGGTTCGTTATATTCACTTACGCGCAAATAACTTTAGGAAAGGTATGAATCCACATCTCCCTTAAAATGGGTTAATTAATAAGACTTGCATCACTAAATCATTATCCTTTCTAAAAAAAACATACAGTGTAAAAATATTTCCTGGTTTTAAATAACCTGCAAAAGGTTGATAAACCATAAAAAACGAATCAATCAATACAAAGAATCTACCCCCCCCCATTCATATCTATCTCATTCTCTTCATTGTTAAGTTGTTATGTTCAAAACCGTTGCATTCTTTTTATTACTCTGGGCTACCAGGATTCATTATTGGCGGTTACAATCTAAACCACATAAGGTGTGCAGATGACACAATGTTAACAGACACAGAAAGAAAGCTACAAAAACATCTACAGAAGATAGTGAAGGAAAGGGTGATTAAGCATCAACCCCCAGAAGACAGAATGCATGATTGTTCGCAAAAGGATGAGTCCAAAGTGCGAACAGCAAATCAGAGGTACCAAAATCAAAGAAGTGCGGAAATTTATATATCTGGGAAGTACTTTTACAGAGGACTGAAAGAGTGGCACTGAAATCCGAAGACGTATTGAAATCGCCAAGGAAGTATTTCAAAAGCTAAGCAGAATACTAAGAAATTGGAAAATTTCGTTAGACAAGGAAAAGACTACTAAACTACTATGTGATATCTGTCATCCGGTATGGCAATGAGATGATGAGGTGACTTGAAACAACAGAAATGTGGCTCTACAGAAAGTTGCTGAGTATACGGTGGACCGAACATGTGAGTAACGGCGAAGTATTGGAGAAAATGAAAACAAAAGGGAGATAGTTGATGTTTCTGGGCCATATAATGAAGAAGAAGGGCTTGGAGAATCTGATACTCACAGGACAAATAAAGGTCAAGGGGGGAAGAGGAAAGCAACGCATAACATACTTAATGAACTTGATGGCGGAACAGGACTTAGGAGAAATAACAGAAAGACAAAGTTTATTAAAAGGAAGTCATGGTGGGCGATGATCGCTTACATCATAAGAGAACACGGTAGATAAACGAAGGAAATGGAACTCGTATATTTGTGCCATGCTTTATCTTTATATGAGCCATATCAGACCATTAAGGGAGTATTGCTGCCATATCTGGGTTTAGGCTGCCCAATCCTCACCGTCCAGCCTTGTCCCGCGTTCAAACGCGTTTACGGGGCCTTCTGTGTGAAGTAATAATCTTCTTCACCCTGTAAGCATTGTCCCACAGACAAAACATTGATAACTTCTTACTGCTCCTATCGCTATTACTATGGCAGATGTTCGGACGAGTTCGTTAGTCCCACCAGTTCAGCCATTCACATCTAGGACCCGAAATGCTACTCAAACGGTGGCAAATCATCTCCATTCACTTAGTGATAAGGAGCAAGTACCAATTAGACAGCCTTTTCCCTAGAACTGTTACTTTGTAGAACAAATTCTCGAGAGGATGCTTCTCTGAGATTTACAAACTTCGTCACTCTCATATATAGTCAACTGACATCTATCCTACACATGTTATGTTATACATTTCTGTTGTAGAGTAGTTTTCACAGTGGAGGCTTGTATTTCAATAAGTCGTCCTAAATAAGGTTCGACGTACAAAACGTTAGGAACTTGAAATAAGAGTTAATGACGCAGCAATCTAGTTGTGATGGTTGGTACTTCAATGTCCGATATCGACTGACTCGCTCAACACCACTGAGCCCAACTGGCTACTGCTACTACTACTTATTATCTGTGGGAGATCTATTACAATAGAATAGGTATTATGCTATAACAATTTCTTACTTCGCCCTTTCCCCTACAATATCAATCAGTAACCCTCTTACCTTGAGTGGTCTTTGGACCTTGTATTGGGTAACCGAACAGTAAAAATAAGTATGCAAGAAATATGTTTTAACATATTAATATTATATTTTATCGACTAGTTTAGTTGGTGGTGCTGATGAAAGATGAAATGATTGTGCTGATTTGGAATCTTCAGGCAAAATGTCATTCATAGAGAATGATGTCTAGACATGCTTTTGAAGGCAGATATTTGTTGTCATTTTTGTTTTATTATCAACACTCACGATAAATTAATCGGGTTATATCTGTTTCTCTACTCCCCCGACTTTCAGTCCGTTAGAGATTGGCCTGAATGTGTCTTATTTTGTCACGGAAATGTCCTTGAAATGTCCGAGAATTTGCTGGTGGAAATTTGATAAACCACACCGCCCTCTCTCTCTCTCTCTCTCTCTCTCTCTATCTCTCTCTCTTTATCTCCCTCGCACAAACACACACACATTCAGATACTTATTTCCAATGTTCTCTTTTACTTGTCATTAATAGTTATAGGTATGACGATAAACTGAGTAGTAGCACCTGTTAGGGCCCCAACTATGGACAAATAGGGAACCATCGAAACAAAGTATAAAAAATATATTTTTATAGTGAAAATACCAGCAATACGTTTTACCCGATCAATAGTACTTTTTTTAATATTGTAAAAGACAGATGATGTAACTGTCTATATATATATATATATATATATATATATATATATATATATATATATATATATATATATATATATATAATTTTTGTTTAAAAATATGATTCCTTCGCTACATAAGAGTTCTCATGTTTCAAAAACGAGAGCCGAAACCATCCAAATAATTATTAAAATTAAGTTGAATTGAGGTGTTTAGTCCCGTTTCATCTTCAAGCGAAATTTTAGGAACATATCCCAAATAACTTGTGTTCATACCTATATATTCGTTAAATTCATCTCGATACATTCATACATAGAGATATGTGCGTATATCTGTGTAGAGATCTATATGCACACAAAGTATTTATATTGCACTTTGGCTAAATAGTCATCAGTTTATATACCTACAGGGTATATCAAAAATACTTTTACAAACTTTGCGGACGGAACCCGCACCAAAATAAGGACAAAAGTCCATAAAATCTTTTTCGCAAATCCTTCGTTTCTGAGTCACGTCGAGATACAGTCTCTGACAGTGTTCGACGTCTGTCGAACTCTCTGCTTTGCCAGAGATGAACCCGGACGAAGCTTTGCCGAAGGCAAAGTTTCGTCCGGGGAGGTAGACAGTTCCCGAACCCACATGCGGGTTCAAAGGGGATATTTTTTGGCTGAACATACGGGCTCGGAGAAACCCACTTTAAACTCGGCCTTGTGCCACATATATTCATTGTGGGTGGAATATTAATACTAAGTTATTATCTTTAAAGGAAATTTAGGGTAGATAGCACTGTGTTGCCATGTAGACTAGGTTACATTTATCATTCGTGTATATTTGTGACTAGTCTGTCTGTATTAGTGAGTTAAGTGAGAAGTGTTCCGTTTAACATTGGCAAGATGTTCATCCCGGAAGCAGGCAGATATGATTTTTACATACGACCGCTGCACGGCTGTATCAGATTGCGTTTCCAGACCAAAGGCAGCCAAGTCATCCAACCATTGCTGGTGTTTATCGTTGCGTTGCTGAGATAGGATCGGTGGCACCACGAACTACGGAAGACCGAGACCCGTTCGTATGATTGAACACGAAGAACACCTTAAACAGGCTGTCGGGGACGATCTAGATATCAATACACATCAAGTGGCCCTAACATGCCGTAAATCTTGTGGTGACGCATGGAGTGTACTTCAAGAGCAGCTCCTTCATCTGTATCATTTGCAACCTTTGCAGGGTCTTTCGCCCTCTGATCATTCACCACGGAAGAACTTTTGCCGATGGTTTATTGCATAGCCTTCCGATCTGTTATTTGTTTCTTCAGTCATGTTTACGGATGAGGCAACATTTGGAAGAGATGTAATAATAAATTTTCCCAATCAACATTTGTAAGCGGACCGGAATCCCCATGATACACTACAGGCTAGACACCAGCATCAGTTTAAGATTAATGTGTTGACTGGAATTGTTTGTGACTGTCTGGTAGGGCCATATGTTTTCCCAGCACGTCTTGCAGGATCTGTCTACAGGGGCTTTATTTCGCACTCACTTCTAAACCTTCTAGATGATATATCCCCTAATTTGAAGACGCCCGTGGTTCATACATGATGGGGCTCCAGCACATTTTACTTAGACTGTTCGCGATGCACTGGCTGACATCTACCATGAAAGATGTATAGGAAGACGAGGACTGATTCCCTGGCCTGCACCTTCCCCCGTCCTCAGTCTTTTGGATTTTTATCTGTGAGGTCAGCTAAAACAATCGGCTTATGCAGCTGATATTAATTATGCAGCAACACTTCATCAACGTGTCATGGGGGATTGCGAAACCATTCAACACCGTGTGGGATTATTTGAAAGTGTCCACCAGTTAGTGATGCGACAAGTGCATTCGTCTGTAGAAGCAACCGGTGGACATTTTGAACATTTCCTATAAGTTGCTGTTTTGAGGTACAACGGCGAACTTTTGTTTATACGGACATTTTTCTTTTTGTTTATATAGACAATTTACCTTATTTTGGTATCAGGAACACGCCTCCAAGGTTGTAAAATTATTTATTACCCTATATATATATATATATATATATATATATATATATATATATATATATATATATATATAATTATTTATTTAAACATTTTAACATAAATATGTTATAAAATCACTATAAAAATAGCCATTTTGTTTCAACAGCTCTGGTGTCTTATCAAATGATGATGTTGAATGTAGATTCTAGAATAAAGGTTGTAAAAGGTTCAAATTAATTAACCACCCCTCGTAAGGGGAAACGCTGTTACATGAGCTGAAATGACCAATCAAAATACAAGTATACGAGAATTCAAAAATCTTGACAACGATATAAGGTTATAATAACTATGAAATGCTTTAAAGTTAGGTTTATACTAAAATAGAATTTATTCTAACTAATAAGAATTTAATTGTACGATACAATTTGAAATTAAAATTAAAAACTACCCATTTCAAAAATGTAAATTTAATCTATATTAAGTTTAAAATTTTAAAATTATTGAGGAAAAATGAAAAAATACTTATGTTATTCTATTCATTTTGTTTCTATTGAAATTACGTTGGAATAAACGTTAAGATCGACTGCCCTTAACTTAATGAGATACAAGTGTATACATGGGATTATGACATCTTGCGAAAGACAATACAAACACAATCAGATTATAATACATAAGCACGCATTTAGATATATACACACATTTAAATATATACACACAATTTATTCCGTATACACCAATCATGTACTTGGATATATATATATATATATATATATATATATATATATATATATATATATATATATTCTGAGAAAGATTATCTACATATGGTTGGTTTCTAAGCGTAGCTTAGATGTGCCATAAAGTCGAAATTATAGGGCACACAGTGAGGATCGGACTCACTATTCAGTCGTAAATGATCTCGGAAGATATGCTCGCTAACCATTACACGCGTATACTTCTTGTATATAGTTATAGTAGGCCGATGAAAGAAATTAAAAAGACAAAAACTGTAACACCAACGACAACAATAATAATAATAACATTTATTGTACAGCTTGCGACAGAAATACCTCCCATATATACCACTCATAAATACATCCCATATAGCGGTAACACATTAGCTAGATGAATACACCATTGCCACTAATTTCTTACCATTATGTGAATAGGTATTTCTCGGATATATATATGAGATGTATTTCTGCCACACCCTATATTATTATGACTTTAGACAAAATAGAAGCTTGATGTTAAAAATATGAATTTTCATATACTTCAGTGTATTTTCTTAACGAAAAATACAATGAAGTTGTGCTTTGGGGGGATTTTCTTTTTTCGCATGTTTTATTTTACTGATTAAATCTAACGGTTTTGGGTTCGTTGTTTATTTGTTTCTCAAATTATTTTTCATCGGCCTACGATATATATATATATATATATATATATATATATATATATATATATATATAGAGAGAGAGAGAGAGAGAGAGAAGGAGAGAGCATCCATTCAATAACTAATTCGTGTAGCTATTTCTTTTTCGATGTTTGCCCAATTTTGCGAATAACATTTCTTCCTGTCTCTTGAATTGTTCCTTCCATGATCATCAACGTTCTTCGTCCTGGTCATTTATACGTCTATACGGTATGATGTTTCGCCACATTAGTGATTCATATAACGTATGACTAAATATAAACTTGGAAAGCTGACGGTGCCTATGCCCGACTAATACACCAAATAAATGCTGACGACTTAAAATGTATGCTTTAACTCTGAACGATCTTTGACAAATCTTTTATTCATGCAGTCAATTTATTCAGGATTTTTTTTTCCTTTTTTGAGTAAATGTATTTGTCTGATCAGAAATAACCCTGCCGAAGAAATAACATTATTGTTTAGCTTGTTCCGATCGAAAGAAACAACTCGGAACAAAAGTCCATGACGTTTTTAAGTGGTTTTCAAAGGTAATACAGGGTACGAGAAAAATACTTCCCACATCATTGGTAAGACATTTGTGGCAATGGTATCTTCATCGAGCTAATGTCTTACCATTATGTGGAAGGTGTTTCGCGGAGGTATTTCTGCTACATCATGTATTTAGATATTTGTAGATTTAATCAACCACATCTTTTGGGGGCACTTCGACGTGATGTAATGGTTAGCAAGCTTGTCTTGCTAAAACAATTATGACTGAGTAGTGAGTTCGATCCTAACTGGGTGTCCCTTAAATTCGACGTTGTGCCACATTCAATCTACGCTTAGAAAATCACCATAGTAACCCTGACTGTCATCTGTGGATAGAATAATATGCATCTTATTAAACAGGAAAGGGAACAGGTATGTTCTAGCCAAAGCGGATACCCCCAAGCTTATCCCATTTTATACTTGCAAGTATAAACTGGCCTAATCTATGTTCCGCGTATACTTTGGACTATTACATCGAATCCTTGGCAGTCTCACATGATGTATAATTTAGTTAATACATATAATGATGTAGGAAGTTTGTGGTGCAAAATAGCATTTTATTTTATTAACAGACCCGCGTTTAAGACGCCTCGACGTGGTGTAATGGGTAGCAAGCTAGAATAATTACGACTGATTAGTGAGTTCGGTCCTCACTTGGTGCAGATCAGGCACTTTTGGCCTTGTATCACATCTAAACTACGCTGAGAAAATCACATGTACCAGCTTGTTCATCTAACTCGTTATTTTTGAGGCGTCTTCATATTTCTATCATCTCAGAATTCGTCTTGTTTCTGGAGGAAGCAACTGCTCTAAATCATTTTTAAGTGCTATCAGTGATTTGCATTTTTTCCCTTTAAGAAAATCAAGTAGGG